ACACACACACACACACACACACACACACACACACAGGACAGTCACATTTAACTGACCTGTGTGTTACTCGTAGGGGACATGGATGGTTGTGCAGTTGTCCTCGTATGTGGAACAAAGAACGTGGGCAAGTCATCATTTATCCGCACCCTCATCAACACTTTACTAAATCAGTAAGTTCTCATGATATCAACATAACATGCTTTCTTCATTTGTATAAAAAGTATGTTGATATTTTGTGATATATCCAAGTTTGTTTGTCAAGATTATATTGAATCTGTGTGTTGGGTGCATCACGCTGCACAGCTGAGTACTAGTAACTGAAATAATAACACGATCTAACGTTTGTGTGTCTGTCTGCAGCACCAACTGTGTAGATTATCTGGAAGGCGACCTCGGTCAAACTGAATTCACCCCCGCTGGTTGTCTGTCTTTGTCAGTTGTCAGCGAACCACTCCTGGGTATGTTTTTAACCCCATCACCTCCCACACATGTTTAGCTGCTGTCAGACATTCACTGAACGCCACATATTCTCCTGAAGTTCTCCAGTTATGTGAGAACGCAAATGTCAGTTGCTGTAAACATTCTCCTGAGCTATTCCGTATCCCAGTACTCTGTGTGTGTGTGTGTGTGTGTGTGTGTGTGTGTGTGTGTGTGTGTGTGTGTGTGTGTGTGTGTGTGTGGTTGGATTAGTAGATTTACCCTGAGTTGTTTTTCAGGTCCGCCTTTCACACACCAGCGAACACCAGAGCACATGATCTACTACGGTCAGGCGTCATGCGAGTCGAACCTGGACCGATACCTGGAATCCCTGAAGTCCTTGTGGCGTAGACGTCCCCAGAGCAGAGAAACTCCCGTCATCATCAACACCATGGGCTGGGTCAAAGGTCAGCAGTGAGGGAATATGAAGAGTTATGAACACACTGGTTGTGGACGGTGTCTGAGTTTGTCCTCGTCTTCGTCGTCCACAGGATTTGGGTTCCAGCTGCTCGTGGACATGATCCGCTTCTTCCCGGTCTCGCACGTCGTCCAGCTCGGTCACGGCGGTTCGACCCAGTGTCCCGCCCTCACTCCGGAGTTTCTGAGGACGGCACACGGCTTTCAGACGCACCCGCCGACCCAGACCGCTCTGGAGGAGTTTACAGAGAGCCACAGTCCCCCCCGAAGCTACACTCACCTCGTTGTACAATCAGAGTTTCAAGGAGTGGCGCGTCAGGGAACAGCGTACGTTCACCACATCTGCCTGCGTTTGAATAGGAAAACTTTATCAAATCTATTGTGCGTTGTTGATTGTGTGTGTTTGTTGTATTTGACAGGAAACACCAGCGCAGTAATGAGCACAGAGAGCTGTCATTGCTGGCCTACCTGAGTCAGCTGCAGTCTTCTGATCCTGGACCAGTTAGACCTCTACACAGCCTCACCCCGTACCAGGTACGTGACAGAGATGATGCAGCGCGTCTCCTCGTCCTCGTCGGTCAACTCTGCTCTCGTCGTGTGATTAGTACCTGTAACTGTTTCCCTCTGAACCCACAGGTTCCCCACGCAGCCGTGGCTTTAGGTGTGATCCACTGCGAGGTGATGCCCAGTCACATGTTTTACGCTGCCAACGCGTCTCTGGTGGGGCTCTGCTGTTTGGGAGAGAAAATAACGAGCAGAGGAGGTCCTGTCCTGTTGTCCCAGGCTCCCATCTGTCCATGTGTGGGCTTTGGTACGTGAGCTGTTCCATGCCGGGCAGTCAGACATCTCGTCACTCAGAACCCATGCGACTGCATCAATCAGCTGTTTGTATGTCGTGTGCTGCAGGTGTGCTTCGAGGCATCGACATGGCACGAGGTCTGTACTTTCTGCTGACGCCTGTAGATCCCTCCATCCTTCGCAAGGTCAACTGTCTCCTGCTGGGAGCCATCTCGCTGCCTTTCTTCGTCCTCACAACTCAGGTCAGATGACAGTGGAACGCACCACCCGTCAAACAACATTACACTTTGTGAAACACACGAAATGATGCATGGATCAGTCCAGAGCTTTCTGCTAAAGCCCGGTTCACACGACACGGCTCGCTGTCTAGTGACGGAGAGTCTCGTAGTCGTCATGCTGCACGGCTGACAACTGACGGGGAGTTACACGCTACACAGTCCCCAACTGATCTCCAAGCTGCGTTCAGTCTTGAAGATGAACGTGAGATGAGACGTGCTCACAGAATGACACATCAGGCTGGAGGAGGTGAAACGCTTCAGTGGACATCTCATTTGTGCAGAACAGAGAGAAGCTCAGAGAAAACAAATTGTTCCTGAACTAAACCTGATGCGGTGAATATATAAATCTCGTAACCCTGACACTTAGCACACACCTCCCTCCGTCACACCTCGTCAGACTCACCATGTGATCCACGAACACGCGTCCAAAGCTTCTGTCGCAGTGACTTACGATTCCTGTGTCTGTGTTTCAGTCCGACATCGAGGGGGAGATGCCGTACGTCACCGCAGACTACAGCTTTGATCTGACCGGTGCAGGGAAGCTGCGAGTCTTCAAGGGCCTGACGAGACCCAGTCAAATAGGGATGTAATGACTTTTTCTACAGAAGCTCCATCGCCCCTTTACCTTCTGCGGTCTTACGCCACACCGGCCTTCGATTGGACAGAACTGAGGTTGAGTCCGGACAATTTCTCTTCTTCTTCTTCTTCTCCTCTCATTTCAAGATTCGGTCCGACAGAGCTGCCGGGAACACGGACCCTGCAGGACGAGATGGCAGCCGGACGCCGTGAAGGAGTTTCTGTCACATGGCCAAATAATCTCACACCTTGTAGTTACAGCTCTTGTTTGATGTCTCTTATCTTTGGGTGACATTCCAAAAATGAAAACTGCCACAAATTAAAACGAGGAAACAACTTTTGTTCAGACTTCTTTCATTCAGGTGCTTTTAACCAGTGTGGTCCCTGATTCACGCAGGAGCTCGTTCACGTTCATCAGTTGTATCATGCAGTAGAATGTTCTCTACGTTATTTATGTTTGCATCAAAAACTCAAGTAGACGAGGCAGCGTTACGAAGCGTCTGTCTCGTGATGTGATCGGTAAATCTGACCAAGTAAGTCAGATGTAAGTTTTTTTTTATGTGAAGCTGACAAACTGCTTCAACTGTTAATGTGTTTAAACGTTCACTCGAGTGTTTCTGCACTGAAGACCCATCAAGAGGTTTTTGTAAATGCTCTCAGGCTCGTGTCGGATCTAACAGTGAAAGAATAAAGGTCATTTTGTGTATTGGTGCTGCAGCTTGTGCCACCGGGGGGCAGAACATACTGTCTGAGGGATCTTTTTCTTTTTTCTTAACAGAAAGGTTCATACACAGGACGTGTCAAGGAGAAGAGAAGTGCAGTGAAATCAGTGCAGACACAATCGTTGTCGTAGTCTTAAAAGAAATGAGTCACGCCACAGCAGACTGACCTTCACGTTATCTGACCGGAGGAACTGAAGGAGGACACTCGGTCGTAAACAAACCACACACTCAGGGGAGAATTGCTAATTTGTTAAGTGGGCTGTTTTAACGTCCCCTCTCTGCCCCCGTGCTATTCTTTGTTCACTGTTCCCCGCCTCTTTATTGAGGGCGGCTGCATACAAACACAGCACAGCGGCGTTTTGGCCGAGTCATTGTTTTGGCTTTGTCATGTCAGATGTTTTCCCATAGACCTCATGCAAACCAAAGAGCAATCCCACTGCAGCGGAGCCACGAGACGGCCTGAAATAACACGTCCGTGCAATGTGTTCCCCACGCAACATTAAAGTTAGTGCATTTATAACCACAGAGAAAAATCCACTGACTCCGACGGGAGGGATTTATAATTTATTATCACCCGACGCTGCTGCCGTGTGTGTGCAACTCTCAAAATGTCAAATATGTTAAACTTACCTCAGAGAGCTCATAAATAGTTCAAGATGGCAGCTGCAGTAATGTTTAAAAACAGAGTGGAAATGATTAGTTGTTGATTTTTGCGACAGAAAAGTGACTCCACACAAGAGTTTTGTCTCAGTTTTGCAGGTTTGTTGTTGTAAATTGATCTTTTTGAGTCGTGGGACTTTTGATTGCACGAAACAAGCTGCGTACTAAAGTTCAAATATTGTTCAGTTGCTGCTCCGGCCTGAATCATCATCAGGATCATGCTCTTGATCTGGTTAGAGCCAGACACCGGTTGTGTTTTAACTTTAAACCAGATTTCTCTCGAGTAATCTGTGACACGCTCGTGACAACCACAGCATCAGGAAACCATCATGGCCGCTCACATCCCCACGTTCAGTTCAAAAGATAAACTTTTCTCAAAGTTCCTGGAATATTTTGAAGAAACTCTCTGTGCTCAAGAATCCTGGAGACAAAGATGAGATTTCTTCAAACTGTTTCTTCAGGTTTTTTGTGTAAGTTTGATTCTCGATTCAACACCAGATTTTTTGTTTTGTCTTTTTTATTTTATTTTGTAACTTGATTTCTGATCTTCTTCCCTCTGACGTCTTCAGATTGACAGCACGGCCCCCGGGCTCAGACGGGTCAAACACAATGATGCTGTTTGGAGTTTTCTTCTTATGCCTTCCTGGTCGCGTTGGGTTTTAATGGTCATTTTGTGTCTGTTTATTTTCGCTTTATGGTCATTCGGTGTTGTCTAATGGTGACTCGGTCTCTTTATGGTCATTTTGTCTAATTCCGTGTGTCTTCGTGGTCATTTTTTTTTTATTGTTGTAGTTGTTAGAGTGTGATTTTGTGTCTCTGTGGTCGTTTGGTGTCAATCAGTGGTCATTTTACATCATTTATTCTTCTGTGTGGTCATTATTCACATTGTTGTAGTCGTTAAATGTTGTCGCTGGTTTTTCTTCATGGTCATTTTCAACATCTTCATGGTTGTTTTGTGTTAAAATATTCGTTTTCTTCTCATTTTGTGTGTCTCTCTGGTCTTTTTTCATAGTTGTGTTGTGGGTACGTGCATCTTTTAAGTTGTTTTGTGTCTTTGGTGATTTTGTGTCTGTGTTAATTTGGTGTGTCTTTGTCTGCCTCTGTCATTGGTTTATTTTGTGTCTGTGTCTATGCTTTGTGTGTTGTCGTCTCTTTCTTGTGGTTTTGTGTTTCTTCAGCGTTGCTCTATGTCTCTTTGTGGTCATATTGTGACTTTGTTGACATTTTTCAAAACCTGTTTATAGGATTTATGTGTCTCCTTGTTGTTTTGCATCACTTTGTGGGGACGTTTATGTTCACACTCATCTGTCACAGGAGCTTTGTGTCTCTTTGTGGTTGTGTTTGGTCTCTTAATTATCATAATGTGTCTCTTTAAGCTCATGTTGTCTTTTTGTGTTGACTTGTCATCTGTCTACGGGAGTTGTGCGTCTCTTTATAGTTGTTATTTGACTCTTTGGTGGTCATGTTGTGTCTCTTTAAGCTAATGATTTATTTTTGTGTTCATTTTTCATCTGTTTGTGAGAGTTTTGTTTTGCATGTCTTCGTGGGGCTTTGTGTCTCTTTGTGTCTCTTTGTGGTCATTTTATGTCTATTTAAGCTCATGTTGTTGTGTTGCATCTGTTTATGGGAGTTGTGTGTCTCTTTATAGTTGTTGTTTGACTCTTTGTGGTCATATTGTGTGTATTTAACCTCACGTTGTCTCTTCGTGTTAATGTTTCATCTGTTTTTTCCAGTTTTCTGTCTCGTTGTTGTTGTTTCTCATCTCTTTGTCGCGTCTCTTTTTTTTTTTTTGAAAACAAGAACTATCATCAGGCCCTCCATACTGAGGCTCTGGCCCCGGGGGCCCCCCACCCAGACCCCTCGGGGGCCCTCTCGTTAATCCGTCCATGCCTGGATGCGCTGTGGACACAGGAGCCGTGCGCGCCTCTGGTGTGCGCGCCGGTGCCTCTCTGGCGCCTCCAGCTGCAGCGGCGCGCCACTGAGCACAGACCCGCCGCAGCCTTTGTGGATCCAGGTTGTGTGAATGAATGGAGCCGACGGTGGATCCGAGGAGGCGGCGAGACGAAGCAGCCGAGCGGACAATATGTTTCCAACTTCGGCTGCGTGTGGAGCGAAGCCGCTGATCCACGGGAATCCATCCACGCACGGAGGCGCAGGCACCGGAGAAGAAGAAGGAGAAGGAGAAGAAGGTTTCGTCCGCGCGTAATCTCTCGATCCCTGCAGCGACACAGCTCCTCTAATCAACATTGTTCCACCGGGACGTCGACGTCTCTTTTCTTCGCAGCCAGCAACAGGTCATCCACCGCGTCCTGTTCCCGGCGGCGGCTGCAGCTCGGTTCACTTCTCGTCGTGTGAACCGGAGGGATGCGTTTTGTTTTTTGATGTTTTGTTTTCCGGGCCACTATTCTTCTTTTCTTTTTTGTTGTTGTTTTACCCCCGTGCGTTCACCGAGGAGCAGCTTTGTGTGCTCACAGCCGAGCAGAGTGTGCAGGAGCCGGGGGAGCACTGCGAGCCAGAGGAGGGCGACGGGACCAGCGAGGAGACAATGCGTAAAAGTGAAAAGAGTTCATTAAACGTTGCTGGGTGATTAATAGTAACACACACACAGACACACACACTGGAGGAGCTGCTGCTGCTGCTGCTGCAGAGGATTGTTTTCCGGGAAGGACTCTGTGCGCATACATGGTGCCAAACAAGTGGACCATGAATTCAGTTCTGCACAAGTCGCCACCGAGGAGCTGGCTCGGCCTCAGATTACGACTCAGTAAGTAAAAAATCCACCAAGTCCCTTTTCCTCTCAGCGCCCAATCAACGTCATCTTACTTTGTGAAGCTGACGCTGGATCAGTCCTCTGCAGGAGAAACATCCTGGTTCCTCCTGCAGGAACTGAGCTGCTCCCACATCTTTGTGTTTCAATGCTTTTCCCTCCACTCTTCAAAGTTCAAGCCCGGATTTGGCAAGTGACCTGAGCAATTATCCCAGCTGGAGGCACAGAGGTATTTCCAGAGAGGACAGTACAGTCTGATCTGATGTCCCCCCCCCCCTGAAGGCACAGCTCTGCATCTGAACTCAGATGATACACATCACCTCTTGTAAATCTCTAACCAACACTATTTATTGTATCCCCCCCCCCCCCCC